TCAGCAGACGTCGTAACAGTTTTCTACATGAACAACATCAGAAGAATTTTCATGGAAACGTTGTGCAAGGGTCGAGCCCAACGTGATCTTTGACGGATCACATATCATTGCGACGTTATTCAGAAAATGGGTTTCGAGGGGGTTGCGCAGTTGGAGCTAATGTCTCTAGGAAACTATCCAACATTGAATCGATTCACGAAATTCGTGTAAGCTTCAGGCTGAAGCAGTTACGGTAGACCTCCTTGAGCTCGACGACGATGACAGATGACGTCATATTTTGAAGGCAATGAACAGGGGCTTGCACATGCGCATGTATGGACACTTAAGGAATATGGAGCCGAAAGATAACTATGGACCACGGCAGCTTGTGTGAGTTAATGTTTGCCGGTATGAGTCATTAGTAAAGTGTTTCTTTTTTTGGCCACCCCTGTACACATTGTTAATATAGACAGCAGAGAAAGTGTTTGCGCTACCTTTGATCGTCTTCCACCGTTCCATGATACGATCCTCCGTCTCATGCCCTTGTGTATTGTCGCTTCGCGTTCTTGACTAGCAGAAATATTTTTTGTATTTTACTTTTCCCGGGAATTGTTCTATTTACAGGAGTCAGAATGTTAAAAAGCCAATAATAATAAATTAATAATCGGATTTACCTGGAAGCACCCTCTCCCTTCGTAACGGTATTTCGCTAAACTTTATACCATCGTTGATATATACGACATATCACGCTCACAAAGCTCAGTCGCCAGGTAACACTCATTAGTTGCTAAAATTTTCATTCGTACCACTTGCCAAACACTCCCTTGCTCTACGCTGCGGGGAACTTCAAGAGACAGACAAAGTAAGAGATGACGTGAGTGGCGGAGAGAGTGAAAGAACCTCCGGTCGAGGGAGTACAGCTGATCTACTGATACTACATAGGCAAGCTATGAAACGGTAGGCGGTATGTTTCCAGCAGGTGTCGGTGGATTGAAATCGTAGGCGCTAGGAGCCTTACTGAGGCGATTCGAGGTGCTAAGTTGTCGCGAACTCTAGAGTTGCAGACCTAGTACCTACCCTGGGAGGGACCTTTTTGATAGGGCTGACCTCGACGTTTACCTTTAATTCTGTTCACGAAACGTTGCAAACTCCTATTTGCAAAGCTCAAGACTCAGACTGAAGTGTTGTAGGTTTTCAAGCTCCCATACCTGTACGGCCAATTTTTGATAGCTATATAGAAAAAACTGCAATCAGTTGTAAGTAAGTGCGTTACTGAACGTTGTTATCAAACGCTTCTTAACTATACCGCTTCTCAATTGCACCGTCGGCTAACATCTACGAATACCGCTTATTTTTCTCCAGTGGTACCAACCTTGTCCCAGGCTTTTCGTCGATCATTGATGTTTTAATCATACCTAGATACCCGTCTTCCCATAGCGGGATAATCCTTTGGAATAGAATTGTGGAGAAAACCGCCACTCTTCCAATGCCACCGAATCTAGAAAGTTCTGCTGCACTAATTCTGCACTATCCTGGATATAAGTGCACGCTGTACTGCTGGAATGTCCAGCAAATTCTCTCAGACGTCCTCGCAAAGCAATGCATCAAACTCAACAGATTCACGACGGCGTCCTTCTCCCACTTTTTGGTCGCGTTGGGATGATCGCGATTTTGTGAGCGCCGCCTCCTCACCTCATATATGTGCATTTTGCATAGTGAAAGAAAAAAACGCTAATATCAATGTTACAGAATAGTTTCAGTAATGTTCAACGCGTAAGGTTGTCTAAGCATATAACAGTGGGAATTCGATAAAAAGGACGAGAAATTGCAATGGAGTGGCGACAGTTTTTCGCTTTCACCGCAGTCGAAGTATAAGAAGCAATGTTTAAATTCCGATAGCCTTGAGTTCATACCATCGTATGCTTTCCATTCACTAAGCGCTTATATTTCCTTTGCTTTGTTTACCTCCAGCAATCTTCATTCATATGTTTATGGCAATCATAAGGATAAGAGCAGTTAATCAAACTAAAAATTTTATGCTCAGAAAAACTTTCATAAAATTAAGCACTTCTAACCGTTCGGGGAATTCTATCGTTTATGGGTTACGTATTAGTCCATATACATATCATTCGTTACAGACAGTTATTATCAGAACCACCCAGAAAAATAAGGATATAAGCGACTGGCAGGACGAGTAATAGCTGGCAGCCAATATGGGCTGTCACCGATCCACCACTACACTTACTTGGCAAGCCATATGGGCTGCAGCCGGCATGCATGTGGCAAAGGAAGAGGTTCTTCCTGGAAAATCATGATTCTATCTCACCCATAAATCACTGGCTTGAGACTCATTATTCACGATAAGAATGAAAAGAACAAAAAATTGCATTTGTTTTGGTAAACAATTCGAAAAACCGGAAGGACTGCTACGCGTTCAAATTCCCGCCGGACATCTGTCACAAATGCTGGCGGCGGGAACGCTTCCACTTGGTTCACGGAGTGCTGTCACTAGAAACTCTTTTTGACCTTTTGACTTATTGCACTAACATCTCACACTTCTACTGCATCCTATTCTATCGATCGATTTGTCTCTATTCTCCAAAATCGCACGCTTTAACCCGATTCTTTCATTGCGTCGCCTGATACGTTGCCACTCAAGGCACACTTTTCCCATGCGCCCCCTTTAGCACCGCGGATCTACTCTCAGCTGTCTATAGGGGGGGGGTGGTTTTCGTAAGGTTGTTTCCATCCAGAAACTGAATATTCGTGCATGAGATATTGTATTTTGTCTCTACTGATCACAGTTAACATAGTCATGCTGGGTAAAGATGCAGGAATTCCCCTTGAAGGATACCTGCAAGAGAAGCTGGAAATGGTCTGAGCGCCCTTTTGATATCGTAATTTTTGCCTACGTCGTACATATTTGCACCCAGTATTTGCCAAAATTTCAACTTGACTCTGAGAGCTATTGAAGCATAACATCAGTAACTTTCGGAAGAGGAGGTCAGCGACCGTTTACTTAGGAGCAGCATGTTCGTTGTTTCCGCTTCAAACAGTAGTTTAAAACATTTATTCTTATGGAACAAACCAAAGCAGATATTTACAATCTGAAACTGTTGTTCACGATCTATTCCACAATAAAAGCCGGCTAGAAGAAAGGAAAGAAGAAAGGAATGTAAGCGAAAGATGTGATGGACTGTGATCCAACACTGTGATCGCATAATTAAAGCAAGATAAATTGAAAAAAGACAACCCTATACCCAACAAGTTCAACAAGACAAAAGTAAAATCATTCAAATAGTGGATGGCAAAAAAGTGCTTAATCAACAACTTTGAACCATCAATGAGCTTTACCTTGCCGTATTCCTTGATTAACAAAATTTCCGTAAAAGTTCTGCGAAGCATTTCCCTATAGTCAAATGTAATCAACAAAGAAGCCCACTTATACCACCGGTGATATTCATTGCAATGGTTGCACACGCATTGGAAACACTGTTGAATACCTGATGGCCCTTAGGCGTCCTAGAGCTGTGGAGCTTACTGTTTTTGCATAGTATAATCGTGCTAAATTCAACATTTTCCTACTATTTTTAACCAGAACATGAAGGGCATCCCGTTCACTACCAGACAACAGGGATTCGTAGAGCAAACGATTAAACCAGAGGCATGTCTGCAGTGGTCGGGTACCCGACAGGAGGCCCGTCGCGTGGCGAAAAGGCCAGCACACAGACTGCTTAAAGGACGAATCCCAGCGCGTCGACTGATACAAGAGAATACTCTGTTCAGCATGACGCGAAATGGCTGCAGTACGACCGACGACTCGTCCGCTTCCCCGTCTGCGTCTCTGCCATATCTCCGCGCGACGAGCCTCTTGTCGCGTAACCGAGTGGTCATGCTGAGCGCACACCCTGCTTGGTGGGGTCAATGAGGGTAAGCCATCCGTTGGGCAGTTCCAAGCTTTGTAAGGTGAAGAGAGGGGATGTCGTATTTTGTTGGAAGAGTTGTATTTTGGGAGGGTGAGGAATTTTTTTGAAAACCTGGAACATTTTAAAAATTTTAAGAATCTTTCCTCGTTTTAGGTATTAAAATTTTGAAATAACGAGAAAAATTACGATTTTTCGAAAAATTCTTCCCGTTTCAGATTTCAAATCTTTGAGAAGCGTTATGCTGTTACAAAGTCTAGGGAAATAAGAGAAGTTTTGGCGTTTCAACTGCTACATTCACCCACGCTCAACATACTTTCTGGAGACGGAATGTAGAATTAGTATGAAGGCAGGATAACCAAAAAGGAATCTGACAAGGGTTTCATTGACTTGTACCAGGGATTGAAGGGGAAGCGTCCAACACACTCTAGAGTTTGCCTTACGCAATAAGTGACCCTGGCTCCGTGTCCAACACCAATCGGGGATTTAATCGTAGTGCCTCTCTTCCGCCAATGTCCCAAACTGAGACCGCTCCAGTTATCGCAACCACTGCATGTTAGCCCTGGAATAATGCCGCCCAATTTAACAAGACTCATAACTTCCGCTTTGAACTACATCAAGAACAAAATAAGACGCCGGTTTCCGCATAAGACGAGTCACTCAAAACTCGATGCATTTGCATCGGCATCATAACAACCAGCAAACACACCACCTTGAATAACGGATATCACATAATGACACTTACAGGTATATATAATAGTTAACAAACTAGTGTCCATCACATGAACAGAAGTTCGAAAAAAAAGCCCAGCTACAGCAATGCTAGTTATCCTGTCAAGAAATAAGAGTAAGTCAATGGAAAAGAAAAATTATGAAAAGAGGTAGAAGGGAAAAATTGTTTGATATGAACTTAAAAGGATCTACAGTGTTAATGAAATTAGTCGCAAAAAAAAGTGAAGTCGAATCGTCTTGTCCACCCTGTGATGGAGCAAACTTACTAATCTTTGACTATCTCTACAACAGATTTCAAGAAAATTGTCACTTGATAGTGAACGTTAGACCATGAAAATCCCAAGCCAGAAAAAGGAAAAGAATAACTCATAAGGGGGCGATTCCTAGATATCGCGCCACAAATACTCTGAGTATGGATGTCATATGATAGATTGTCGGATAATGCAGCGCCTTCTCGTTGTCTGCTGCAGTATGCCACACGTGTGGGAATGGAACTGGGATCAAATGGAGAATGGGCACTCCTGAAATAATAAATATAACTTAAGGTCTCAATCACTCCTCACTGCTTGAACATTTGTATTTGTAATGGCTATTGACATGTGCGCTTCCGGGAGCGCAAAATTAATAGCCACTCCAGTATCCGCGCTAACATGGATGGAGCATCAAAAGAGTCTAAGACAACTAAGGTTAGATGAACATAGTAATGTTAAGTGTTCGCTATTATAACATATCGAAAATACTCCCAGATCAACCGCAATCACCAGTCAAAATACATTGTTGCATGAAAGGCTTACCCCGCTTCATGAATGGAATATGGTCATCTTCCACAGCATGGGGCGACAAACTTCCATAGAATACATTACGAGGTACATTGGCACAACCAACTTGGCGTAATTCCGCTTCTAAAATTAGCTAGAATAATTCACTTTGTACTTTACTATTAACTCACTCTCCAAAGCTCTTAAAGCCACGAGTCAGGATTAGGGAACATGAGGAAGTCCTTTATAGGGTGCGAAAGTGGGGTCTCCAAGCAGAGGGGGTGTGACGCTGTCGCGACAAGGAAGTGCGCGGCAAAGGCGCTAGGGCCTTGCAATTGTGTGCTGCCGTGCTGCGAGAATTTCCGGCAGCACAGATGTGGATGTGGTGCGTGGCTGGCCTAACGTGTGAGATCAGCTGAGTTGATTGCCGTATCAACCGATGGAACGGCTGGCATATCCAGAAAACTCGTTTGGACGTGGACTCTCCCCCGAGCAAGCCTCCTTCACTGCTAGAAGGAAGGGGTTTCGATTTCGGTCTTGTCGACGGTTTCTTTGCGTTTTTTCTTCACTGTCGTTCCACCTCCCATCTCTACACTCAATTTCAGGCGCCATAATGCCCAAACACGAGCCTGACTTTTGCCTTTAATTGTAATGAGAAGCTTCGACGATGTATGCTATACTCCTCAAACAAATTGCATCGTTTTTACTCTGCTAAACATTAGAGGAATCCGCCCCGGACATACTATGATTCTAACTCACCCATAAATCGCTAACTCGAGGCACTTTCACGATAAAAACGATAAAATCAAAAGAAAAATTGCGTGTGTTTTGGGAAGCAATTGAAAAAAGGACTGTCACTCGTTCAAATTTCTGTCGTACATCTGTCACAAATGCTGTACGGGAACACTTCCATTTGCTTCACGGTGTGCCAACATTTGACCTTGTGGCTTATGCCTTACATTTCCCACTTCAGCAACATCCTACTCTATCGACTGTTCTGTCTGTATTATCAAAAATCGAAACTTTGACTTGATTGTCGTCCAATACGCGCTTGAAGCGTGGCCGCTCAAGGACGCACTTCTTCCCATGCGTCTCGGTGAGGACCTTTACCCTCAACCATCCAAAAAGTGTGGTTTTCGTTCGTATGTTCTCAGCAAAACTATAGTACACATATTCGTGGGTGGAAACTTTGTATGTTGTCTCTTGTGATCATCACAATTAGACCTATTCGTGCTGGGGAAGAACGCAAGAATTTTCCGAGAGGATTCCTTCAAAAGGCGGGAGTTCACGGAGAAAGGCAGCTCATTAGGAATCAAGGTAGGATATGTGGTATGCAGTTGTGCAGAGATGAAGGCAAAACCATGAGCAACGACCCAGAACCTGAGAAATGGCACCTCTTCCTTGCCCATTGATTTCCGCATTGATGCGATTCTCATTGGGCGAGCCTTCTTCAACGCTAAGGTTCTAGATATACTTTTCCTTCTTCCACCTCCAAGCTTATCGTGGATTTCTCCTATGAGTGGAAACTGTTGAGGTAAAACAGGTATCGGCGTGATGTAGCCGGGCATGTTTAAGAATTAACCATGATAATTTGTTGTAATACAATTCCTTCTCCAGAACTTTCACACCAACAAAGACTCAATCGCCCAACACTGTACATGTCAAGGTTGACACGTGTTTCACATCGCACACTCGCTCCTCCATAACGCCTACTCAGCTTAGCTATGCACGCTATCGCTAAGGGTGCAAGCAACATATGCCCCGGCAATCTGGCATGGTCTTCCCGTTGGCGCAATTGGCCTGGAACGCCCACCGATTATCTAATCACTCGCCGCAGTCTATACGCGGCGAGTGATTAGATAGCAGAGAGAGCGTAGTGTTGAAGAGGGCACAACGATGAGAGTCGCATCAATGCGGAAATCAACGGGCAAGGAAGGGGTCCCATTTCTCGGGTTCGGGCCGTTTCACATTTCTTCTTCATCCCTGCTCCACTGACCACCTCTACCCTTATTTCCAATAAGCTACTTTTCATCGTAAACTTTTTCATCCACCTTTAGGTGGGCAACGTTTCCTACAGGATCTCATAATTCGGTTTCGAGAAGTCTCGGTGACCGGGAAAAAGTGGATAGAGGATAGAGAAGGGAAGGACAAACGGTTACTGGTGGGTCTGGCGTGTGCCGAAGAGCGGAGTTTCCCAACAAACTTATAATTCGGTGCGCAGCAGCAACGAAGACGGTTGAAAAAAAAAGGGAGAAGTTCATTGCTGAGCGGGGCATGAGACGAAAAGGGTGGGCTAAAATCCAAAAATGCCATGCGGTCCTGAAATAAGACGGAAATCGAGAAGTAGCAGATAAAATCAAGTCCACAGGGACGATTCAAACATATATTATAAAAAGAACAACTCCTGTGGGCAACTGCGGAGGCCGTACGTACACTAGAACCGACGGGAGCAGAATGCGTTCCGTATCACAAGGAGAAGGAAAGCACTCCACACCCTCTGTTTTCAACTTGTTTTTTGAGCCAATAAATTTTTACCAATTTTGGGCAAATAGTCGAACAGTTGGTTTGCTCCTAGTCCCACTGTATTTGATATAGTAGGATTTGCAGTTCCAAGGAGATCGAGTAGCATAAGCACATCCTGCAACATTACTTTACTAGACCTTGAACGATTGGCAAAGCTAGGCAAGCTAACACATTGGCTCTCTGGTACCGGGTATATACAAAAAGCATTTAATTTAACAGAGCACAGAACACGGAGAGCCGAAGAGTCAGAATGTACGATTTGCGAAAAAAAAAACTGAAGCCACTCACTATCCTATCGATTTCTCGACTCAGTTCAAAGTTTGTGCCAGTTGTAGTGGGATACCATTTGGTTTCCCACTTCTTGGCAAGATGACGAGATCCGTAGAGAGAATCAGTTTCGGTCCAGTCTACAAACGCTTCTTCACCATCGAAGAAGATTAGTTGTAGCGCTATATCCTGAAAAAAGAATGGTACAGCCCGCACTGCGAAGCGCTCGCTCTCTCTTCTGATTAGAAAAACTCTCAAAACTCAACTCTCAAAAAAAAAACTATTCCTAGACCCCGAAATTCCCAATACCTACTAACCAAATGACAGGTAAAAGGGAGTGGGAGACCGTGTCTACAGGGCGTTTGCGACCGACACGGATCTTGCGCTTCAGTATCACAGTTCTGGACGCTCCGCTATTTGAGCCCGGAGTGAGTTACGCCCGACCTGGCCACCTGCTACAGGAGGAGAATCTCTTCTCCGAGAAAGCTTGGCGTTAATGGAGTTCCTCGGAGAGCGATCTTGCAATAACGGCTCTGCAATAGCGGCTGCACCCAAGGCAACTTCGCTCGAAGCAGGAGGAATCGATCCAAGAAAATCGTGATTCCATCTCACCCATAATTCATTGGCTTGCCATCGTTCACGATAAGAACGAAAAGAAAGTCGAGCAAATCCGAAGGGCTGCTTGATTCCCGCCGGCATCGTGTCACAAATGCTGGACTGACGCGGAATGGATTCCACCTTGGTCCACGAGAGTGCGTCACCTTGGCATTAACATCGATTACACTTCTATGACACCTATCCCCTGTCCGATCGATTTGTCTGCTACTCTCCAAATCCGCCGCTCTTAGAATCGGACTTCTGTTCCCCACTGTGTATCCGCCCTGATCACCGTCACCCGCCCCCAGGAACAACGAGCTCCTTTTCACGTGGGACCAAGCTTACGCCGTTAGGTCTGTCATAGAGTTGGTTTTGAACGTTCTTTCTCTTCCAGAAATGAAGATGCTTTGTGCGTGAAACTTTGGGCATGTGTCCTCTACGTATTTCGACAATACATCATGAAAGTTGGAAAAGACAATGCAAAAGATTCGCTCCGGAAGCATTCAATCTAAAGGCACGGGTCCACGTTCGTAGGTCGCCTAGCAGCGAAATTGGCTTCGACCACTTCAGTATAAACGACGCTTCACAACACGGAAAGTGTCCTGTCTGCGACTTAAAGGCAAAGGTCGGGCTCAGGCACGCTAGAGAAGTAATTCCCGTGCCTGGAGGTTATGTGGGTAGCTGCACACATTGCAGCAACTTCCCACCTTGAAAAACCCCGTTAAGGCCCCGGGGCGTTCGGTTTCAATCCAGGGCCGCCTGGTCAATCCAGGACCGCCCACCTCCGGAAGTGGTGCGTGGCTGGCATAACGTGTGAAATCAGCTAGGTTGATTGCCGTATCAACCGATAGAACGACTGACATCTCCAGAAAACTTGTTTGTACGTGCCTCTTTCCCCAAGCCAGCCTCCTTCACTGCTAGTGGGAAAGAGGGTTTTGTTAACGGCCTTGTCGACGGTTTTTCTCAGTTTTTTCTCCACTGTCGTTCCACTTCGCATCTCTATACTCAGTTTCAATCGCCATAATACCCCCTTATTGAGCCCGACTTTTGCCTTTAAAAGTGCGCTACAAAGGAGCAATAGCCTCATTTGATCGATGTCGTGGTGTCTGGGAGAACTCCATTGACTATGCAAGAAATTAGGGATAGGGCCTGGGTTGAATGTGCGGGATGTAGGGATAGTACACCACCACTACCTCACATATGAAGGTGACACTTTCAATTTAGCCGATTTTTATCACCCGCGGCTCCTCTCCTTGGCATTAACAACGCTTTTTTCCAGAATTTTTCGATTATTGTTGGAAACGCAAAGAATAATCGAGTGGTTGCTCCTTCCACCCAACTTAAAAAAATTCACACACCTGTGCGACTCGTTTATACATATAAGGTGAGAGCGATTTTGCAATATCCATCATCATAGCACATGGAACAGCCGAGTCCGAAGCCGCAATCATTACCCGTCTAAACTTGAAATTGTTAGTTAAAGGAATCTTCCGCGGAAAAAGCTCCGCCTCCATTACCACAGAAAAACGATACCTTAGGCCCCTAGCCTCATGAGCATAGCAAAAAGAACGGAACATAAGCGTTAGTTTCGATAATACTAATCCTACACACAAGACAAAATGATCACTTTCCTTTAAGGTATCGTTTTCTGTGGTAATGAGGGCGGAGCTTTTTCCGTGGAAGATTCCTTTAAATTCAAATATTATACTGTTAAACACGAGCCGCTTCTTCCATCGTATGAGGGGCCTATGGAAATATTTTTTAGTTTACACTTCGCAAAACTAATTTGAATGACTTATCTTGAAACTATAAGGGTGAACATTTGCGAAAAACGATGGAATGTAAGAAAAATTGCGAAAAAAACCCGGATCTTAGTCTCACAACGAAAAAAATCCGTACTTTGCAGTCGCCAACCATGCAGAAAAAGGGCGCTCGTGTCCTTGGGAGGGGGGAACGATTCCTCTATGCATATATTCCCACTCATTTGAAACACAACAAACACCTTCATATTTTACAAATGAATCAAAAAGAGATCAGAAAAATTAATACTCAATTTCAAGCTCGAGCGAGAAAATAAGGCCGAAGTGAAGCCAAAAATGGGAAGGTGTTATAGAGCTTTGTAGATCATACGCAGTTTTTGATAAGAGCAATAGCAGTAATTGCTCTAAAAATACCTACGCAGTTTATTACTATGTATGTCGTTTTTGTTTCGTTTTTTGTGATGCCATTTATTACTTGAGAGTGTCACTGCACTTGAAGGGGCACGGCGTGGTGTACAGGATCCTCAGGCTGAGCTTTGGAGGCGGAGGAACTCAAGTGAAAATGAAAACCGCTTACGCAGGATAAGGTCCCTCTTCCTCACACCTCTCTCCCGCCCTTAACCACAAGCGTACGTCCTAGAGCCGAACCTTCAATCCTTTTTGTAAGATCTACGGAAGTGACAAAAGGAAGCAGAATCGAGATTCCACATTTTGTGGGAGGCTATTGCAGAATGATATTTCAAATGATTTTCAATTTCAACTTTCGAAAACTTTCAAAATTAGTTCGGTAATAGTTCTGCTGAAGGTTTTTTGATGGCTAGCATTATTCTTCACAAGCGTTTACAGCTTAGAAAAACTAAATCGCATTGAGCTTTCCGCTTTGAGATACCACTCCCCGAGCGCCGTATTATATTTCAGACTCTCAATAAGGACGGCCACATTCAGCAAAAATTCTGTACTGAACATACAGGGAAGGCTGAAAAAGGCATCTTGCCCATGCTGCACTTCAGCGACTTATTCAGCTCTCCTTCACTGCCCTCACAGTCTTTAGAATATGACGTCATTTGCCATCGTCGTATAGCTCAAGGAGAACTACCGTAAGTTGCTTCAGCCTGAAGCTCTTACATAATTTCTTGAATCGATTCAATGTTGAATAGTTTCCTAGAGACATTAGCTCTGACTATGCAAACCCCCTCAAAACCTTTCAGAAAACGTCGTTATGGTACACGATCCTTCGAAGACCCCATTGAGCTCGACCAGTGCACCATGTTTCCAGGGCAAATTTTTCTGATGCCGTCCACGTAGAAGGCCACTATGCAGATTTTTTATAGAAGTGAAAAATGCTCTTCAATTTCAAGTTGGAAGCACTCGATTCTAATTTAGCAAAGAGGTCACATCCATTTGAGTGTGAGTGTCCTCCTCCCCCTGTACATTCCATGTCATTTCGTAGCAGTGTCCGTTAAAATCCAGACATACGACCTCTCCACACTCTGGAGAGACCGATGGTGTGGATAGCAATAGTGTTCGACCTTACACACTTACAACTCCCCCCAAATCTTTGAAAGCGTCCAACGGGATAAAACACATAGGTAAATACATGGGGAGGGGAGGCAATGGAACAAGACGGAATTATTTACCTTTACACTGTTTTCAAACAGAAGCATACCAACTGAAAATTGAAGAGCAAAGTCCACTGTATCAAAAAACTTTATAATAGCTCTTTATGTGACGATAACAAAAGAATCTGCCGCGGAAACATGGTACAGGGTTCGAGCTCAATGTCCTCGACGGATCGTGGGAAATTGAGAAGTTATGTGAAACAATGACCGGAGGAAGTCTTGCACATTCAGAGCTACTAGATCTGGCAAGCTATCGATCAGCCAATCCATCAAAAAAATTATTGGGCAACTTTAGGCTGGAGCGATTGCGGTACGTCTCCTTGAGCACAACCGCGATGGAATGAAGTCATATTCTGAAACGACGATGAGAGTAAAAGAGGGCCTGCTTCTGCTGGTGGTGAACAGGGCATCTAAGGAATGATTTCACGCTAAGCTCCCATCCATGGCGGCACCCCAGCGACGAGAAGTTTGCTAATGTACGCCATGGGCAAAATGACTGCCGTCTTCCATACTTTCTTTGAATCTCACAAAATATCTGACTTTTAAAGAAATTGCACGCTCGGCTACGGTGAAAAATAACATCATTCCTTGTACAAGTGCCTTGCCACCTTTTTAAGATAAGAAATTTAAGCAGCATTCGAAATAATCCTCAAGTAAGTGATCTCCGAGAATATAAGTATATGTGATTATTCAATAGCAATCACCTACCCTGGCAGAATCTTCGAATCATAGTGACAGGCCAGCACCAAACGCCGCGGTGCTTTCACACCATTGGTTACAATCAAATTCCGGAATGTTTTCGAACCATATGGCGTGACTGCCTGCAATGCAAATATTACATTTCAGCCATTCCTTTCTCACCTAATCTCGGAACGAAAGTGAAAATGACATCTGAAGTTATACTAATATTCCAAGTTGGGATGAGAATATGAAAAGGACAGCGAGAATAACTGCTCTGAAGAACCACGCTGAGGTATACAGAGCGGGCACAAATTACGGAAAACATTCATGGTTTATCCGTTTTAGCTGTTTTTATGATAATATCACAGTATTTTCGTCTTCTGTGCTGTATTAGATCACCCTCACTATCATTAAAAAAAAAAGCCGTCAACGACGACTTCCTGTAGTCGGGTGCAGATATGTTTTCCCTTCAAATCTTTAATTTGCTGCCGCACCGACAAGATGTTTTGGCACAATTCCCTTCTCCAAAGAGGCTTCTCAAAGTGAACAAAACGAAGTGTGAGGCGAGGTCACGGATTCTTGCCAAACGGACCGCATTAGCGAAACCATCACCGCCAGTACCTTAGCCAATTTCAAACGATTCTATGACCACCTCTGAAAACTCGCTACCGTTCGTTAATGGTAGAGCCGAGAATATTTACTTATTTGTGTTCAACACTCCATAGAGAAGGAATTGAAACTAGCATAAAGATTAAAGAGATTTCTCAAACAAGAACTGTAAAAATACTAGTAACAAGGCAATCGTCCTGAGGGTTGAATTCACCAACTATTTGTAAACATTAGATACTCGAAAGGGAGACGGATAAGCTTGCAGGCCAAGCGGGTCGCAGTACTTTCGTGAATTAGTGAAAAGTAGAGGAGATTATAGCACTCAATTTTGTAAGAATTGTCCAGACTTCAACATAAGGCAGCGATTCAAGGTAAAAGGCAATATCATTGTGAATATTTCCTGGTTACCTCGCCACTTCGAATAAGCTCGATTGACGTGCCTCTCTGTTCCCTGATCATCAGGGAGTTGTTGCTTGAAGCCTTAACTCATCAGTTCAATCTCATCAGTGACCCATCAGATCGAAACTTTTTTCCAAGTCTCTGTGATTTGCGCCCACTCTGTACAATATCAAGCGCCACCATGAAGCATCAACACTTTTTTTTTCGCGTTCAAGCTCCATACAGGAACCCATTGTTATATATTTCAGTGTACGGTAAATGAAAGGCTCCTCCTCAACACTCAATCGTCGTCAATATGCAACTGGTAAACTCGAAAAAAAAACCGTCCACCTAAACAACTGATGAATGGATCTATACTAACGCAGTAAAATTCTATGGAATAGCATCAAAGCATCGTCGGGTGGTTAACGGCTGCGCATTTCTTCACAGAGTGGTTCTTTTACATGCTGATCCTCAACCAGTGGAGATTAGTGCGATCAAAGAATTACCTCAAACTGATCCCATTCCGTTGCCCATCCAAGCCGAATGAAGAAATTGTATATGTACTGAAATAAGAAAAAGTTTTCCTTCCTTTATAAATTATTCGTATGGAAAACATTCCAAGACAACATCAAAAGGCTGAAGAGGATCAGTGCCTAGTGGCGGTGGGATGGAACGATGCCGCTAAGAATACAATTCTTTGTATTATGTTGAAACCCTACGCAGTCCCCGCTTTCGATACCAATATTCAAAACATAAGAAGTACCCTATCATCCTGAGTTATTCAATAACCCACATACCCAACGTTCCTACTTAAAGGAATCTTCCACGGAAAAAGCTCCGCCCTCATTACCACAGAAAACGATACCTTAAAGGAATCTTCCACGGAAAGAGTGATCATTTTGTCTTGTGTGTAGGATTAGTATTATCGAAACTAACGCTTATGTTCCTTTTTGCTATGCTCATGAGGCTAGGGGCTGTAAGGGGTATCGTTTTTGTGTGGTAGTGGAGGATTAGCATTATTGAAATTACGCTTATGTTCCGTCCTTTTTGCTATGCTCATGAGGCTGGGGGTCTAACAAGTAAGGGTATCGTTTTTCTAGGGTAATGGCGGCGGGCTTTTTCGCGGAAGATTCGTTTAAAGGCATGCCCCAGGATCGCACTGGTGTGGCTCTTGCACACGAATGTGAATGTATCGGTGCCAAGTGGGCCGGCAGTGAAGAAAAAAGGAAAAGAATCCGTCGAAAACGCTCAGGTTGAGGGCTCACTCACCTTCCTAATTGGCTGTGCTAAAGGAACGAGAGACTAAGCGCGAAGAGGAGAGTATGGGGCGAGAGAGCGCATCAGATGAGAGAGCACCAGACAACGGCCTGATAAGAGAGCTCGTTCGCTGCAGCTCGAGCAGCTTACTTTGCAAGCCCAAAGCGTTCTTGTCGGTCGAATTCCGTGCACGTGAACGCCACATTTGTGATTGTCCCCTAGGGTTCTATACTTCTGACCGAAGAGAAGAGTTCACACGACCTCTGCCTGGGTTGTGCCTTTAAACAATATGTGAGCGATTGAATACCTCTTCTTGAGAAATACTCAATGTTGGCGGAGGTCCGTCCTGAGGTGTTCATCATTATCATCATCGTGGCCCTCTTTCTTCAAGAATTGAACAGAGGCGTGGATAATTTGTGGTTGATTCCCACGAGTTCGCGAGAATGTAAGGGGTGAGAAGGAACCACTGAGCCCACTTTCTGTGCAGACTTCTGAGTTTTCCGATATATGATCGGGAGTGCTCATTCAGTGGACAATTTCACCTATATAAAGCCGAAACACTGCGAGATCCCCACAACATGTCTACACAGCTGGAGGCGCTAGATATCCGCGCTAGCAGCGTGCATTCCCTTGAGGTCCATAATGAAGCACTGCAAGGTTGAAGGTCACTCTCCAGAGCTCGGTTGCTACGTACATCAAGTGAACACTGTATTTGGCTAACATCAACCACGCCGTTCTCTATTCGATGATGCCTTGCCAAGACGGCCGAACCCGCCAACTTCGAAAGCACGATTTACCTGCAAGTACTAGATGTCTGCGCTAGCAGACCTTCACTCGTGTTCGCTTTCACTCCGTGTTGAACGTAACCATTCCAGCCTCGCGAAAGCGAACCATTGCTCAAAAGCTTGGAAGACTTGAACTGGGCAGCATTTAAGTACTGCTCATCTAGTGTATGTCTAGAGCTGCTGTTAGACGAGGCGAATTGCAAGAAGCAGTCTGAACCTCAATTAAAATGCTTCACG